ACCTCTGCGATACTAGTGCCGTGCTGCACTAGTATCAGAGAGGTCAGTGGTTCGAATCCCGTACAGGCCTGACTTTTTTCAGGTCTGATTTTCGCTATTGCACAAATAGCGCTCTCTACTGCGAGGATCGTGCATCATTCGTATCTATAGCCGCAGTTCAAAATATATGAACTTCATATATTCACCGTAACATTAACTTCATTAACTCTACGGTAAATGAACATCTACTCATGATGTATGTTGGGAAATGTGTTGCTACATTGCAGTAAATTTACGTTCAGTAGAAAACTGGTCGGCTTTACTTCTCATTACGCACAATTTGGTTTAACTCTCTGCATTTTGACAAAAGTATAAGCACGGTCAGTTTAAAGATTTAGTCATTTAAGTATTTCACAATCCCGAGATCTTTTAAGCATATTAAATGTACAAAGGAATGCGATACAGGTTATGGACGCAAAACGGTTTTTATGGGCGTTTTCAGTGTATTTCCAGGTATTTTTCTTTTTTCCTGTTCTTTCCCTTTTTTTTTTAATTACCGACAGTCTTTCACTAGTTACAGTACACAAATTATACTAACAATACTTACAACTCCTTCTTACAACATCCATAAAAATACTTCAATACTCCTTACAATGCTAATAAAAATACTTTTGGCATAGGCAAGGATCTTTTCACAACTTATTCTAATTTTATCTATCATACAAAATGCCTTCGAATGTTTTAAAACTCAATATCTCTAGGACTAAATACTATATAATTTCTGTCATTTATAACTATTTCCCAATTTCAGCATGTAGTCTTTACGCAAAATAAAAGTATTTAGAAAGAATGAGTACTTCTCAAAGGGACAAATACGCAGATACAAGAATAAATGTACCTAAATAAATAAGTTGAATTGACGTATATTTGCAAGAATGAAAACCTTATGAACCTGTTTAAACAGGAAGTGTACTTTATAAACAAAGTGGTGGGATTAACTCTCGTCCTGGATGTATTACTATTTCGTTGCGTGTGCATTCAAACCTTCCACAAATAACCTATATCCATCTGTTTTGCTTCAATTCATCCACACTGATCCCTTCTCCTTCGTCACTGGAGTCTGAATTCTGACAAACATAACGTGATTTATTTGACACAAATACTTAGTATAATATTTTGCATCAACCCCCTCTCGCATTTTACGGAAATTTGTTTAAAAAAAAGCAGAAATGTACGATTAATTTAGTGTCATAATCTAAGACCTCTAAGGATCCTTGGCAAACTTAATTGGAAATATTTTATACTTTTCAAAGCAAGTCCCTCTTAACATTTAATATAAGAGGGTCTCAATGGGGTGCTGGCTTTTACGGTTATCGGCTAAAATTTTGGCTCTTTTACAGCTGTCGGTTAATTTTTTACAGTTACGGTTAACAAAAACGTTAAAAATTAATTTCTTTGGTTCCAAAAGGTTAAATATTAATAAACCTGTGTTTTCTTAATCTTTAAAGCAAAATAAAGGTGTTATGGTCATCTCAGGCTAAAATAAGTTATTCTTTTGAAAAAATTTAATATTTGATAAACCATACCACTTCTAATATTATTTTACGCATAAAATATTGTGAACTACGAAAAAGGATTCAGTACAAGGCCATACACAACTTAACTTACGTCATGCATTCTTACATTTACTTGTAGGAGTGGTGACCTGTTTGTCCTTATATGGTGTTATATGCCTGTTAAATTGT